CCTTGTCCATAGCATCCATAGCTTGATCTTGGCACTCTTAAACCCCCAAACTTCACCACCATTAACAATAATGAGAAGAAAAGTATAAAGCAGCTTCTGTTTTTCCATTAAACTAACAGGGATTAGAGAGGTTAAGGTATTCTGGTAAAGAGCTCTTGAGCTGATACTAATAGTGAATAAGCAAATGATACGATACAGCTTGTCTGAGCCAAACCCCACCTTCTCTGGCAGTGAGATCATTCCCAATGATTTGCTGAGGATGCTCCCATTGCCTTGCGTCTTCCAAACTTGTGGAGTTTTTTTGTAGACTATCTGGTTGTTCTTTGTGGTTTATCTGTTTTTTTTTTTAAACAAGAAATAGCAAACCTTTAATATTAGGCTATGAAATTTGGCTCCAGGTCAGCACCCTGTAGTTGATGATATATGAAAATATTTTCTTATTTTCCAGGCAACTCACAAAACACATTCCTACTGCTATGACCGTTCCTGGGTTATTCCATATTATGAACAAGGATATCTCCAAGTACAGCGCTTTTACTCCCCCAGCAAGAGCTTCCTCAAAATTGAGCCCAAGTCTGAGACACTAAGCTGTGGCTCCACCACGGAAGTACGGGTGCACTATATCCTTACACCAGAGGCCATAGGAGAGGAGAAGAAAATTGTCTTTTACTACCTGGTAAGCTTGCACCAGCCAAACAGTCAGGTTGTCATTGGTAATTGTAGGGGAAGACAGAGACGGAAATTGTGGTTTGAGGCTGCAGGCTTTAAACAGTTTCCCATCATCCTTCACATGTTCTTTTCCCCAGAAAAAGAGGGCCTGGGTTAGAAGCAGAAGAGGGAGGATGTCCAACTGCAGAAGGGCAGAGAGCAGCTGAGCAGGGTGCAACCAGCAGATGTGACTCAGTTGTTCCCCTCTCAGGTTCCCTGCCTTTAAGGTCTGGTTCATGCATAACCTCAGTCACAGGAGGGTTTCTCCTTCTGTTCAGGTGATGGCCAAAGGAATCATTAAGCGAGCAGGCACCAACACTCTGGATTTGGACCATGAAAGTGGTGAGTTCCCTTCACCCCTCAAATTATGTCTGCCCTGGGAGGCTGTATGACTGTATACACAGGCTACTTCCACATGCAATTCAGGGATCCACATCTCCCTGTCCCCTAAGATGTGGGAAATGTGGAGGCTTTCTTTTCTCTACTTTTATTCCAAGCTTTGCACAAGCTTTGCTCTAATGCCATGTGCCGGCTCTTTTTCTTCTGACCACTGCATTCTTTGGGGCTCCAGAGCTCGTAGAACACACAGTTTGATGGTCTGATTTTAGAAGTTAGAGCAAAAGTCAGCATGCTTGTGCAGTGAAAAGCAAGACTTGAACCAGGCCTTTTCAGTCAGAGAGTGAGGGTTATACATCTCTATGGGCACAAATGCATTCCCACTTGGTGTCCTGGGGTTTCATCATAGCTGGGATGAAGTTCAGCATGAAGTCAAATCTAGAAATTTGGCTGCTCCAAGAACAGGTTTCCTGTCCCTTAGCTTTTTACTCTTGTTTTGTTTGCTAGTCAATGGAGTCTTCTTGCTACAACTGCCTATACAAGCTGACATTGCTCCAGTGGCCCAAATATTTGTCTACACCACTTCCCCCAGCAGGGAGGTTATCGCTGACTCAGCCAAGTTCAAGGTGGAAAGATGTTTCAGCAATAAGGTAAGTGTTTACTTCTTGAGGGAGCAACCATTAGACTGAAGTCTGGACAAGTTCATTTATTTAGATTTATTATAACTGGACAAGCTACCTATCAAAAGTTCTCGGTAGCTTCATTGCTTACGGGTTTGTGCTATCTTGGAGGAGACCAACTGCTGGGAAAAGGTGCTAGCTTTTTTCTTGGAGGAGACCACACTGCTAAAACCCCTCTTCACAGCAAGTCACAGCCACTGATTTCCCAGCTGGCCATGCATAAGGAAAAGGGAGGCCACCTGTATGCCTTATAGTCATACTGCAGCCCATGTGTTTCCTTCCTTTTCCTGCAAACTTATTCCAGCAACAACGTGGCAGCTTGTGTGGTCATGGAATACAAGTAAAACACACACAGCCAAGGAGCAGAGCTAGTACTTGTTGGATATTTCATCTTCCCTACATCCCATCCTCTCATTGTAATTTTTGATGTATGAAAATGGAGCGAAATCTTACCTGCATATGCCATCTGCATATGAACAATGAGCAGTGCTTCAGTAGCACTGGTGAAACTGAAAGAAGGCAGAGGAACAAAGCCTTCTGTTAACATGTGGACCATGATTCCCTTATGACCCCACATATTCCTCATATAGAAGAACAGCATGATGATGTATGAGCAGTCCTCAGAACAGAGAAGCCTCACAACTGCCCTGGAGGACTTCATAATGGTAGACAGGACACTGCTAAATACTGCGCCTTATCCTGTTTGAAGCCAGGCTAAATGATTTCATGAGACAGGTATCACTGTAGAAGCTTGGTGACCTGAACTTTGTTCATATCTCAGTGGTCAATCTATGCACTGTATCTAGGTCTGGGTGCAAGCTGACAAGTGTCAAGTGATTTATGTGCTTATGTACTGTTTTCCTTTCCAAAAGCTTCCTGTATTCAGAGCTGGTGTTAGTACAGTACAGGCTTTGGACCATACCTATGCTAGATGGTTTTTCCAGTAGCAATTTTACTGCAGTCCTTATTCTACAGTTTCCTGAAGAATACTGCTTTTTTATTCTTAGTGTGGTGAGACTGCCCTGACAGAGGTGGGAGTGTCAGCAGAAGCCATGCTGTGTTCTGATTGGGACACCAGGGATACTGGTAGCTCGTCTTGCTTTGTCAAGGAACCTGTTTACTCTGAGGATGCTTTGAAGGTTTTATATCGGGGAAGAGTTTGCACTGTTGAGGAGAGGGAAGATTTGTACAGAACAGCCATCTTACAAAATTGTGTGAGAAGGTGATGAAAAGCAACTTCTGCTAGCAAGAACTTGCAGGGCAGAGGTTGGTAGGGAGGTTTTAGAGTTGTGAATTAGGTTTTGGGGAGGGCACACTGGTCTGGCAGGCCTCACTCAGCAGGCCAGTTTTTCAGAAACATTGCCAGACAGTAAATTTTACAGTATTTCTCCAAGACATCACTGCTTCTCATGTTACCAGAAAATATGACAAGTGAGCTCTCTGCAGGCCTGTTGTCCCTTCACATACAGTAGCTGGGTGCAGCACAGAGACTGGACCTGGTTTAAGACCATGCCCTGCTGCCTAAACAGATCTAGCTACTCTATGGGACTCATTCCATTCACAGTGGCCATAACATCCTAAATTACCTTTAAAGTCATATAAGTAAACCTTATACTGAGTTGCCAATAATTGTTAATGTTGACTCTTCTGCCACTGCAGGAAGAAAACCCAACTCTGCAGTAGGAAAGAGGAGCATGAGTGTGCATGTGTGTGTGGGATTCTTAAGGTTAGAACTGATACACCCAACTGAAGGTAAAAGTCTTGTAAGGCTTAGAGAATCTGAGACATAGCTTTTTCTATGGCTACAGGTGGACTTGAGCTTCTCTCCTTCTGAAGGCCTGCCTTCTTCTGTCACTCACCTGCTGTTCAGAGCTTCCCCAAACTCCCTCTGCGCTGCCCGTGCTGTGGACAAGAGTGTTCTCCTCATGAAGCCAGAAGCTGAACTGTCACCGAGCTCTGTAAGTGCTACGTCTGTGTACTAACTCAGGGCTCGGTTAGAACAACAGCAGCCCAGTGCTGGGGTGAAAACAGTGACCAATCCTTGTCAGTGCTGGCCCAGGAATGTTCTCCTGCCATGTTTCTCATCTTCCTTCAACAGGCAAAAAGAACTGGGCAGCAGATGTTTCTTAAGGATTTTGCCTGACTGTAGGGATAGTAATTGGGAAGCTCTTTCAATGACGCTGCTTCTCTTGGCCAGAGCCAAAAACAGATCTTATGCTTAATGATAGTTATTTAGTTATTCTCTCTGGCCATGAATTTATTTTCTTGGAGTAGTGTCTAGAAGTGTCAGAGAGTTTACTCCCCTCATGCCAAGCAGCAAACAACAATCCCTGTATAAGGACAAATGCTGCAGCTGGGCTTGCCAGAGTATATAATTAACATATCTGAGCCATAATAACTAGACCAACACGCTGCTTATAACAAAAGAGGGAGTATCTCCAAATTTGGACCTACTTTTCTGGACTTCCAAATTTCATTGCTCCTACCACAAGGAGGACCATGATTGTATGGCTACAAGTGCAGATGATGTGGCTGTTATGGTGCTTGCACCCATCTCCCTCAACTGTGCTCTGTGACAATGGGCATTGAAAATGCAGCCTACCCTATCTCTTTCTGCCCAGGTGTATAATTTGCTGCCAGTGAAGGAATTGCATGACTATCGCTATGGCCCACACATGATCTTGGAGGATCCCCTAGAGGACTGCATCCCTTTGAAGAAGATAATTCTGAATGGGATTACCTATTCTCCAGTAGTGGAGGTGAACGAAGAGGACACTTACAGCATCCTAAAGGTATGGCTCTCTTCCATTGTTGGGGATTGGAGAGGGGGTAAGACTGAGAATGCTTAAGCCTTCTGTGGCAGCTGCAATATAGCAAGGGAAGGGCTCATGAATCTGAATGATTGGACTAATTTTTGTCCAGAGGCAAGTTCAGTGAAGGTCATAAGTTTCACCTGTCCTGCCAGCTTTGCCCCTGACTTGGTGGAAAAGGGATTCTGCCCATATGAAGTTTTCTTCTTATATGGAAAACTTTGGGGTTAACTTGACATGAGGTTCTAACTGGTGACTTTGAAGTTAAATATTCATGGGCCATTACAGTTACCCCAAATAAATCAATACACCCTTGAGTTGCATTGTAGCTCAGACATCTCCTTCCAGAAAGGACACTTTATATCTACTCCCTGACTCATCCTGACCCCTTGGCTGGAACAGGACTGGAACCAATGCCCTAGACAGGGGGATCTATTCTTTGGTCCCTGAGTCTCCTAGGCACCCAGATCCAGGCTTGGGGGGGGATCAGCTTAAAGTCCAGTCCATAGAGAGTAGCAGGTTCTGCTTTTGAGGCAATAAAATGCCAATGTCAGGTCCGTTGTGTAATCCTCAACAAGGATCAGTAACAAAAATCATGTTGGGTTTTTCTCCCATAGGAAATGGGTTTAAAGGTTTTCACAAATTCCAAGGTGAGGAAACCTTGGTATTGCAGCACTGGGAATCACATATCTCTAGAAGCCGGCCCTGTATCAAGCGCAATCCTGCCTGGAGCACCTATGCATGCACTCAGGACAAGCGGTAAAGGACCAGGGCCTTGCTATCACCTCTGTTCTGCGCAGAGATCCTGTCTATATTTTGGGGTGAACACTCAAACAAGGGCTCGGGTTGTGCATTGAACCATTGGAAGCAGTACTGATGTGGTGGGTCCACAGATGTCAGCTCCTGTATGAGTGCAGGGCATGTCTCTTTTGCTGGATTGTGGAAGCCTGCAGATTAGCTTTGATAACTCCCCATCACAAGTCAGTTGGATCAGATTGTTTCCAGATGCTCTGACAAAGCACAGGATATTATTGTGCTGATGGATTCCCTGTTTACTAAGCTTTTAGACTAGACTTCTTTTCCCAGCTATCACTTAAGGGTTCTCCAACATCATCTTCAGCGTCAGAGGCCAAAACCAAACAGAGTGGATGAGAAGATTTTCAGTGACAAATACATAGGCTTCATTCCAGGGACCAGGAACCATAAGATGCAGCTGACAGAAACCTCAGCTGAAATGGACCCATTCTATTTCTACGGGGTGTCTTAACTGTTATACTGAAGCTTTTTGGGAGGCAGAGTTTGCCATATCATCCTTCAAGGTATTAATCAGTGGATTTATTAAAGGAAGCATGCTGGAAAACCTGAGTTATTTTTGCTGGATAACTAATTCAGAGTCTTCCTTTGGCATGTGAAACTGCTCTTTTTTACATATCCTGTTTTAAGACAATTTCAGCTTATGACACAGGTTGCTAAAATGCAGGATGGATACTTTTATATTATTTTAACCTGAAATAGATAGCAGTGAGAAGACTGAAATACCTTGCTAAAAAGATAAATACAAGCAGACCACCTGTCACTCCTGCTGTCCTAGGAGCTATATGATACAGCTTTGATAGCATCTGTCACTCCTGCCCCAAGACCTTCTCAGACTCTGGAGGTGCCCACTAACACAGATAATATGGATCCCTGCAGCCCTCACAGTTCTTATCCAAATGTAGAAAGGAATTTAGCCTACCTAAAGATGACCAGAAATAGACTTTAGCTCAAACACTTCAGTGTGTGGAAAATGAGAACTTTTCATCTTTAGTGGTTTGTTTGGGTGTATTTCTATTTTCTTTTGTCCAAGACAAGCAAACCCAGCCCCTCTCCCTCCACCTTTTTTTTTTTTCCAAGCTGTTCAAAATCAAAGTGAAACAAAGGCTTTTTTTTTTTTTTTTTTTTTAACCAAACTTTCATCTCAAACTCAGAATATTTTCTTGGGAATGTTTTTTCCATGTGAAAACTTCCTTGTAGTCAAAAAGTCTATTTTCACCCCTCTTATTCCCAAATTTCAGTGGCATGTTTTTAGTCTGTGCATCTCTCAGCCTGGTTCTTTTGGAGGCCATAGGTTTGGCAGGGAGGCAGTTTTCCTAGGCATAGTAACCTTGCAAAAACCACTGCAACACAAGATGTTCCATTGCTAGCTGGTCTGATAGGGTGGAGAAGAATGTCATGCTAAGACAGTGTACCTGAAAGGGAAAGGGCTGCAGGAACAGAAGGTCGTAAATGGCTCTATGCTTTAACATATTTGGTTTAACCTCATATTATGAGCAGTTCTGGAGACCAATGGGAAATGCTGGAGGGATAGCCCTTGCTAATAATTCCTGCCCCTGAAACTTCACTACTGTTGGTACCAGTTCTCACTACTCAGCAACTATCTGCTGCCAGCACAGATTCTGATTACCACATAGATTGTCACTTTCTCAGACTACAGTATCATGCTGATGTAGCTCTTTGTTGTTTGGAATTATTGGTAGTAGATTTCTTTTCCGTCTCATCACGTTCAGGTTCACAAGGTGATAGACTGTATACCACATCAAGCACTCCTGAAGAGGTGACAGAGACAGTTAGAAAGTATTTCCCAGAAACTTGGATTTGGAGTTTAGTATCTGTAAGGTAGGTGCCTTGGGCTGGATCATTTTTTAATGAAATGGGTTTTATAAGGTGAAAACATGAATCTCACATGTTTGCCAGGCCTTTTCAGTTCCAAAAAAGTCTTTCATTGTTTGCAGACATTACTCGGCAATCCGCTGAGATGGAATTACCTACAGCTGTGGTTAGATTTGTTGAAGGAGTGGCAGGGGGCTGGAAGAAGATATGTAGGAGTGGCCCTCCAGTGACAAACACACTGTGCCCCATCATTCACACAGGGAGTACTGTTTAGTAGGCTGAAAGGGATACAGATAGTCACCAAAATAACATAAAAATCCCCACTCTGTCCTTGCTGTCTGTCCCTTACCAGCTCAGAGGGAAATGCTGAACTAGATGTGACCATCCCTGACACCATCACCGAATGGAAAGCCAATGCATTCTGCACCTCAGCAGATGCTGGTTTTGGCCTGTCCCCGACCGTGTCCCTCAGAGCCTTCCAGCCCTTCTTTGTAGAGCTCACTCTGCCCTACTCCGTGGTGCGCGGTGAGGCCTTCATGCTGAAAGCCACCGTTTTCAACTACCTGACAGCCTGCATCAGGGTAAGGAATGTTTAAATCCTTCTGTGTACTTGCGTACCTTCTTGTATACCTCTTTCCTTCACCTACACTCTATCTCATCTCTCAGTAGCCTTATACCCCTCACCCCTGAAATTCTTACAGCTCCCACATTCTCTGAACACGAAAATTCACCAGTCCAGCTCCCTGGTCTTTCGCTACAAGATGACTGATGATTCTTCCTAGCTCCCTGATATGCTCTCCCTATCTCTCATGGTCACTTCTCACTGATTACATGTCTCTCTACAACTGGCAGGTCAGTGTGACTCTAGCTCAATCTACTAATTTCCTGGCTACCCCAGTGGAAAAGGAAGAAGAATCTTATTGTCTCTGTGAGAATGGAAGGAAAACAGTGGCTTGGCTGGTGACTTCCCGATCTCTAGGTAAAAGCCTAACGGCACTGAAATCTCTGCAGGGAGGATTGAACTTTTCTCAAACATTCCTTTATTTTGTTTTGTTTTGTTTTGGTTTGTTTTTTTCAGGGCTGTAGAGGGGGAGAAAAGAGACGATCAGATCATAGTGGCTGTAGAGGGATAGGTGTTAGTTGTTTTTGTTCCTCCTGTCAGGTGACACTGATTAGAGTGTGCTTTCAGAAATGTCTCTCATGAAACAAGAATGGGCTTACTGTACAAGAGGCCAGGATAGCTCTATCTGGCCATGGGTGCCCTATCTGTATTCACAGTGGCACCTTGCAGAGCCTTTGCCAGTTCCTCTTTACTCTTTAGCAGTATTTGGCCCCAGCTCTGTTCCTTCAGGAATTCAGCAGCGTAAGGTACAGTTCTGACTCAACACATATTCCCTTTATAGGAAACTACAGATCACAATACAGATTAGCAGCCACTTTGACCAAGGTATGAGGGGGAAATATACTGAATTAAAGCCTGGTAGGAAGTCAACCTCTCAGCCAAACAGCTTTGATCTTGGTGGATGTGATCATTTGAACCAGACTTGGCTGCAAAACTCTGTCATGATCTCATTTTGCCATGAGCAAACAGGCATAATAATGAGATTCATTACCCCTCTCCTCTTGGACACTTTCTATTTTTTCTTTTGCTCTGATGGGTTAGTAAGAAATTAGCCTTTAAGCAAATGCATCTCCCGATGAAAGCCCCTGCTTTCTTTGGTTAACCAACTTGTCAAAGAGAAGGGTTTCTCCATGCTGTTCTCCCAGTTCAGTATCTGAGGCTAGAGCTCCACAATTTCCTGGGAAATACTGGGCAGCTGACTGTTTGTGTCATCTGAGATCACCTGGGAAGCAAATGCTGTCAGATTCATAGTGTCTTAGGTCATGTCTGGCACCACATGCAACACCACCAAACCTTATAGCCATTAAACAACACCTTCTGAAGCCAGAGACATGGCTGGCAGTAGGGACATTTTGACAGCTAATCTAGAGATTAGACAATAGCCCTACAGGACTCTCACGCTTTTCTTTCACTGGTGTTGATACATGCTGTCATAGCAGCTATAGTGCGCATGTGGAGTGACAGTGTGCCGAATGACAGTGGGACTGGTCGGTCCCACCATTGTAGTGTCCTAAATTCTGGAAAACAGACATCGAAATAGAGTTACCTTTCATGGCAGTGCAGTCCATCTGCTCCAGGATGGATCCTGATATAGCTATGTTCTTATGGAAAAGAAGCAGGGCCCAGGTGCGACGGGGAATCCCATCCGTGGGCCTGCAGATTGAAACTCCCAGAACTGGTAGTGACTCCCACAGCCCTTCCACATCTCTTCCTGCTGGCTGGCTAACCCCTGTGTGGGTGGTCATCACAAAGGAGGAGGCCTGTGTTGCAGCTGGATCAAGATAAAATACTGCCTTGAGTTTAGCTGTCCTTCTCAAAAGGTCCTCTGTAACACATCAGAGAGGGCCTACAACAAACAGAAACCCACATTTCCTGTGAGATGCCTGACATAAGTGGCTGACCCCTCTTTCTTACAGGGCAGGTAGAGTTCTCGGTGAGCACTGAGGCCCTGCAGGACCAGCAGCCCTGTGGGAATGCAATAGTGGAGACTCCTGAGAAAGGGCGGAAAGACACAGTGATCAGGCAGCTGCTAGTGGAGGTATGTGTGCTGTGGATGGGGAATAACTAAACTTTACCACAGACTAGAGCTTACATTGTATATCCATGGGAAACAGAACTCTATGAGTTCTCTATGCAGTGTGATGATCTGATGGTCTTACATCATCTTTAGACTTTGACAGGGCTGCATAGAGATTGCAGCTTAATGACACTGGGCAATGTATCTCCCCTGATATGCTAAAAGTTCCCCATCTTCTGTTGAAAAAAGGACTCTTCCTCCAATTCTTCCTTCCCTGTATCTCCTACCTGTGACCTCCTATTGCAATACACCCTCTTTACAGTTTCTCTCCGCCTTTTGTGACATGCCCAGTATGTTTGATCTGTTAGCACATGCTACATCTCTGCTAGCTGACTGGCCAAGCAAACTGCCTCTTCAGTTGAGTGTTATGCAACTCTGATTTGCTATGTAGTCTGGTATCAGGAGGAAGGTGGGGGATTCAGAAGTACCTATGGAAGTTAGACACCTGTAGAAAACTCCGCCTAAACTCCAGATAAGTGGCAAGATTTTACAGCTTATCCTTTTCCCATGGAAAGGGCAGTTGTTTATATTATTATGTGGTACAGAATTAAATACTGCATGACAGTACTGCATATTCTTTTTAGGAAAATGCTAGCTTGCTATACTTGGTGTTGTAATCAGACAGATAGATGCTGTGTTCTTAGCTTTTCTTTGTGTCATAAGATAGTAGCGCTTGCCTACTACATCATATGGTATCAGTAGTGTCACCATATATTATAGTATGTCACCAGATGCACAACATCTTCCTTCTCTAGTATCAACTTTCACAATACTTTTTCTAAAGCAGCATTATAATAAATAGTACTGCAGACATCTCTCCAGGACAACTCTTTAGATTTACTGTGACCTGTGCAATTTGTGGTCTGTTATTAACAAAAGCACTTGTTGTAATGCTGCAGTCCTCTTGTTACAGGGATGTAAGACTCTCTCACTGCATTCACTGCCACCCACATGATAGTCCTGCAGTGTTCTCCCTTTCCTTTTCCTATCCTCCCTCCATATTCAACATCAATCACTTATTATGATCATGTTTCTTTAACTTGTTTAGATTATTATTTTAGATTTCTCCATACACATTCCAGTAAGTGTCTGTGAGTGCGCCTCTTTCTCCACACGCTCTGCCTTTCACTTTCCCCTCTGTCCTTGCTAAGGACTCCTCTGTCTGTCTGTACTTCTTATCTCACTAACTTCTCACCCCTCTTGTTTTCCTTCGCCCCACCCAAGCCTGAAGGGATTGAAAAGGAAACAGCGCAGAACTATGTGCTCTGTGTAAAAGGTAAGGCCTTCTCTCTCCCTCCTCTCCACTTGTTCTTTTGTGGGGTGAAGGGTGGGATATCCCTGGAGGAGAATGATAGTGCTGTCTCTACAGTCTTCCAGATAGGGTGATATTTCTAGATAATCAACGTATGTCTCCTGATTGCCTAGAAGCTAATGCAGAGAGTCCTAGGGAATGGACCATAAGGAATAAGCATAGGCACCAGAATATAGCCTAGCTGGGATTTAGCATGACTATTTCCATCCCTAATCTCTCATTCTCTGGCATCGGAGAGGTATCCTGTCTTCCAGCTCCCCCAGGAAAAGTCTTAGAGATAAGGTCTGTAGTGCCTAGCAGTGGCTGTGAGTGTTCTCATGCAGGGGCTGCCTCATAGCCAGGGAAAAATGAAGTGTCTAAAGTCAGAACATTTCTAGGAAGGGATGAAGGGAAAATGAAGTTTATCTGGTGTTCTAGTGAGGTCCCTTCCCCACTGGGCATTTCTGGGGGCTGCACTAAAGCTGTTTGGGTCTTGTTTCCCTCTCAGGAGAGCCTGCAAAAGAGAAGGTTTCCCTGTCGCTCCCCTCAAATGTCGTACAAGGCTCAGCCAGAGCATATTTCTCGGTGCTGGGTGAGTGAGCAGCCTTGGAAAGATTTGATGTGAGAAACGTCACTGTACTGTTTCTGCCTCTCTGCCTGATGGTGTTGGCCTCCTACCTCACAGCTTTTTCTCCTAGTTCTCAGCACACCTGCCTTCTGTCTTTTATCACTTCTTTCTCAAGGACTTTCCCTTCCAGTTCTGCTCTTCCTTTCCCCCTTTCTAAATCTCTTTCTGTTTTGAGTTCTCTGCCTTGCTTACCGGTGCCTTAAACTTTCTCTCCTTTCCCTCCTTTTCCTCCTTTCCTTTTCTCTGTCCTTGCTCTGTGTTTCATTCCAGGATCTTTATTAATATACATTTTCTTCCTGTTCTTCTCTGTCATTTCCTGCTTCTCTTGTTCTGTAGCTCCCTCTGATTCTGCCAGCCAGCCCTGAGTTTTGCTAATCTCCTTGTGGTATCTCCTCTTAGGTGACATCCTGGGCACTGCCATGCAGAACCTGCATCAACTCCTCCAGATGCCATTTGGCTGTGGGGAGCAGAACATGGTCCTGTTTGCACCCAACATCTACATCCTGGACTATCTGAACAAGACAGAGCAGCTGAGTGAGGAAGTCAAATCCAAGGCCATTGGATACTTAGTGAGCGGTGAGCTGGGACACAGCTTTTGCTTCTGCTTTGGATTTTTTGCAGAACCTGCCTGGAGTGTTTCTATCAATGACTGCCAGATATGCAAAGAGAGCTTCTCCTTTACTCAGATGGTCTCTGCTGAGAAGCCCCTTCCATACTCTTCCTTCGTTATTCTCTGCTGCTTAAGTATCAGGGTACCAAGTCATTGCATCAGCTTTTCTGTGCTCCCTCATAGGGCTGCAATGCAGTGCACACTTGTCAGATGGCCTGCTACAGTGGCTTGCCTGTTGTAATCAGTGTGCCCTGCCTTTATTCTAAAGGCAGGGATTCCTTCTCCTCATGCAGTAGAAGCTGCTAGGTGTGCAGTGATTGCAGGGATGGTGTTTCAGTGCTTCCTACTGGTTAGGGTAGGACTGACCTACTCCTCTCTCCTTTGCCTTTGCTGATACAGCTGGGTTTTGTTGTTGTTTTTGTTGTTGTTCCCACATCTCTCAGACTTTCTCTGGCATCTGAATCTTGCTTTAACTTTACATTGCAGGTTATCAGAGGCAGCTGAACTACAAGCACCCAGATGGCTCTTACAGCACCTTTGGACCACGTTATGGCCAACCAGGAAACACCTGGTGAGATTTCAGTGTTGCCCATGCCTCTCCTACATGCTCCTCTTTCTCAGCTACACAGTTACAGTAAATGTTGCATGACAGTAAATATGAAATGCAGTTGTAGACCAGCAGGCTTTCTAGAGCTGATATGGCCATTGTGGTGCCTCTCTGTTGATAAAATAGGCTGCATTAGCTGGTTGTGTAGCTGAAGCACCTCTTCTCACCAACAGCTTTGAAGACCATGATAGAGGTAGGCAGAAATAGAGAGCAACTGTGGAAAAAAGGAGCGGGGGTTTCACATCCCAGCTGAAGAAGGCTGAAGAGTTGCAGTGGCAGCTCTTCTAGACTAGAATCTGCTGAGAAAGAGGCTCCATATAAGTGGAAAGGATGATAATATTGACATATTCTCTGCAGGAGAGTGTATGTTGCCAGTGTGACTGCAAAGCTTTGAGTTGCGCCAGCATCTCCTTGCCATGCATTTTTAACTTTGGATAAGGGTGAAAATGGATGCTTTCATCACCTTCTGTTTGCTGTTGGTTTCTGAAACAGTATTTGGGTCCTGACAGAACCTTGGCTTCTCTCCACATACCTTACTCTCTCTCATAGCTGCTTGTAACAGCTCTAACAAAGACTCTTTTAATCGGTTCTTCCTTATCCACAGTTTTACTGACACATCTGGGGAGTTCTGAGAAATCCATGAGACATAGATTGCCAGTGCAGGAGTCCTGCCAGCAGACCATGAGCTTCCAGGAATTTAATTATTCTCCTCTGTCATTTTGACTTTTATTGTCATGCAGATGCTAAGCTAATTGACATGCGATTACTTGTTTTTTCCAGAGAGACTTGTTTAGATATATATCAATGTTCATTGTCCTTCTAATTGTAATGTCAACACATAGGGATCACAGGGTTTTATGAGCCCAGAGAGAGAGAATACATCAAGGCAAGAAACACTAGACAGTTTTTTTGAGGTGAAGATATAATATATTCTTGTGGTACAACTCATCAGGCCTTAATTCTCCAGGCCTTCTTGCCTTCCTCCAGACAGGTGATGCCCATGTGGACCCTTTCACCTAAGACAGATACAGAGCATCGTCAGGCACTCTCACTGCTCTCTGTCCTTACAGGCTCACGGCCTTTGTCCTCAAGTCCTTTGCCCGGGCCCGGCCTCACATCTTCATAGATGAGAAGCACATCCAGGATGCCTTGGTCTGGCTCTCCTACAAACAGAGGGAGAATGGCTGTTTCCACAGTTCTGGAACACTCCTGAACAATGCCATGAAGGTAACATATTTGCCCAGTCAGCTCCACACGGGCTTTGTGATGCTGGAACTTGCCAATAAGTTAGAGGGGTCCAGTTGAGATTCTTGACCGTGTAAGTGGATGGGGAATTCTCATGCCCATGGCAAAAGTGAAGGAATCAGAAGCCATCCTGTATGCAAGCCACGATAGGAAGGAGAATGAAGGCAAACCCACAGTACATAAATGGTATTGACACCTCCATGTGAGCTGCAGGGGCAAGGAGATGATCTAAGGGTCTACAGTGCAGAGTAGAGTATTCCAATAGAAGTAGGAGAAGTGACTGAAAAGGAAAAACTGTGTGGCGTCAACATATGCCATTGTGGTTCCCCACAGGGAGGAGTGGACAACGAGGTCACGCTGACAGCCTACATCGCTATTGCATTGCTGGAGATTCCTCTGCCTATAACTGTATGTGACTGCACCCCAGCCTGAGACACTCTATGCTGGCCCAGTACAGGCCACTACCTGTTCCATAACGGAAAGATGAGGTGGTTACTGGGTCCTGTGATATGAAAAAAGTGTGATGTCACTTTTGGCATCCCTAGACACCATGGTACTGTGATTGTTCCTACACCTCATTCTGGCAGATACTTCCTCAATATCCTGGGGAACAATGGATTACAAGTAAGCCACAAGCCTCATTTCTCTCCCGCCT